AAACACACACACACACACACACACACACACACACGCACACACACACACACACACACACACACACACACACAGAACACGTATCACCTGACCAGAGGCGATTTTAGGACTTTTAGGTGAGGGACATAAGATGGGCCATAATTCATACAGAGGGCCAACCTCATCATTAGCTAATGATATGATTTGAATCGGTGAGTGACAGGGGAGGGGTGACCAATCAGCTTTCAGCTCAGGCCAGTGCCCTATGGCCCCGCCCTTGTACTTGATAGACCGCCAAGTATGCGCCAGTACAGCTGAAATGCACCCAGTGCCCGATGCTGTTCACAATCATTCATACTGATGGGCAGGCCTCTCAAAAGTACATCAGCAGGCCTCTCAAAAGTACAATGTGGCCGTACACCCAGCTGCCTAATAATACTACAGCAGACAGAGCATTAAACGTGCCCTTTAACCAGTCTGAGTGCTAACTAATGATTAACCATGGCGCTGTGAAGATTAGCCACTTTCAATTTAACTGCCTCAACTCACATGCCTGGCATTATGGGAAATGTGGGAGCAGGCGGTTCCCGCGGTCTTGTGGGCAGAGGCAGTACGTACCATACTGGTTTCCGAGGCCCCGAGTGGCCATCTCACGGTTCAGTCGTCTGCAGAGTCATTCAGTGTAAATCAAACCCCACGCCACCCCAGCACCGCCGCCCGTGTTCCGGAATCATCAGGATCCCTATGCATGCATGAGCAGGCAGGTTCCGGCTCAGGGAACCGTCTCAGCTTATGTGTGCAGGAGTGCAGCATGCCTTCAGCAGCCCTGTTGCGACACGTCGGTGCCGCCGGGCCGCAGAATGTAACCCCTGCTCTTCTTTGTGCCTCCTCAGCTGACGGATCAGGGCACGCCTACGTCTGCAACGCGGCAAGGCAGCGTGGGAAAATTCCACGGGGCTGGCTGCTTTCTGCCCTACCCCGTTTCCCAGGACTGGCTATGCGTATATTACAAAACGCAAGCATATTCCAGCCGGCTTCAATTTCTTGTCATTCCATTAAAAAAAAAAAATTTAAACTGGAGTGACTGTCCAACATCAGAGCTCCAACAGCATCCAGGAATAAACACAGGAGCCAATCACTGACGGACAGACCGTGGGAGGGCGGGGCAGCCACCCACCTGCTCTCCTGGACCTTCTGCGCATTATAGCTCTTGTGGAAGTCCTTCAGCTCGTCCAGCAGCCCTGCGGCGATCATCTCATCTACACGCTGATCCAGTCGCCTGTCCAGGACTGAGGTGGAGAGCGGTGGGCAAAGAAAACATCACACACCTTATTTTTTTCCCAGGTGTGAAATCCACAGGAAGTAGTGTCTCTCTCTTTGGACACGGTCCAAATTAGACGTGTATTAGGCAGAGCCTCACACTGAATTATTAGCTCAACGACACATTAATATTTAAACTGTGGGTGATTAAAAGCTGTGATTAATGTAAGGCCCGTGTGAGGCAATAATGTAGGCATGAAGCCTGCTAACAATTGAGCCTAATTATTAACAGTGACGCTACCAATCGGAAAGGATCACATAATGCTGAGATACAGCGAAATTCCTCCAAAAAATACACAGGGATCCAAAGCGAGCAGGCAGCTGGGGTCCAGAAGTTCCAGCCCAAAGATGAGGGCATCGAACCTCAAAGATTAAAAGTAAGGCCAGAAGGCAATGAGTAGAGCCTTACCGTCCATGTTCGAGTGGAGCCAGAAGATGCAGGGGTCCAGAAATCGGAGTGGCCCCCCCAGGGAGCCGCCACCCTCCTGGCCCCGCTGTTCCTCCAGTAGCTGACTGTGGGGGACCCCCGTCTGCTGGTGAATCTGCAGGCTCCTGAAATTGGCCGGTCGATTGGCCATCAGTCCATCAGCAGACAAGGTGTACGTATTACCCATAATGCATCAGCTGACAGGCAACACAACAATGAATCAGGCGCCGGCCAGCGGTTATGAATTATTAATCAGCCAATATCCGAATACAGAGTCTCAGTTTTCAATTAATCAATTATGAGTCTCCCGACGATGAGTCACGGCATTGAAAAAAAAACCCAGTCACTTGTCATAACGAGGGATTATGTTCACAGATGGCATACAAAAGGAGTCGCCGCAGTGGACAATCTCCAGTGCAGCCCAGCTCGTCTGGTAAAAACCCCTCACTGGTGCCTCAGCCCTGACTTGTGTTCCGCATTAAATTGCGAAGCCCCAATGGGCAGGGGTGGGGGGGGGTGCGAGGTGTTAATTAGCCTGCCCTAATCCCGACGGATGGGCACAGAGAGCTCGAAGGCGCGTGAAAATGGCACGGCCGGCCAGAGCGCTAACGAGTGCCGGGTGCCCAAGGAAAGGCTGCCGCCCAAGGGAGCCGCTAATGAGATTCGCCGCTGGGGCCGTGCCGCCGCCTTCGGGGGCCGCTAGCTAGTCGCCCCAGCTGGGACCTCAAGAAGGACCCGAGGGGTTTAGAGACAGATAAAGGGCGACGAACACATCATCACGCTTGGCTTCAACGCATGGGGCGAAGCAGGACCCCTACCAGAATGCGGAGCGCATCTACATGGACGGTATTTTCCAGTAACTCCACGGCGCCCCCACCTGGCGATCTTGCGCACGTCGTGGGGGTGCAGCAGGGCCGCCATGTCAGGGTCCACCTCAGCCAGGCGGCGATGCAGCTCGGCCCCACCCACTTCCTCCAGCTCCACCTTCCCGCCGGGGGAGCCCCGCTCTCGTCCAGTCTCCTTTCCGAGGGGCGGAGCCAGAAAATGCGAGTTTCCAATCACTCGTTTATTAACATTTGCTTACCCAGCACCCTCCCAAACAAAAGGACACTCAGGCAAAAAGAGAGGGGGGGCACCGATCAAACACGTAGGCCAGCAAACGGGATATATCCAACTACTCTCCCTCACTCTTTCTGAATCCATCTGATTCTCTCCCTCCCCTCCCTCCTCCAGGCCCCGCCCCCTTCCCACTCCCTACACCAATCATGATGAAGCTTACCCCCGTGTCCAGCAGCACCTTCCACAACAGGGACTCGATGTAGTAGTTGGTTCCACCGACAACGATGGGCAGCCGGCCCCGGCAGTGCATGTCCTCGATGTATGCTGTTAAGGAGAGCAGCCCCAACTGGCGCCCTCTGCAGGTCCGAAGGGGCATGACCTCACACAGAGGGCATCTGACAGAGAGAACGCTCTCGTTCCTGGCAAAGCAACCGATGGACTTTGGAGCACAGTGGGGCGGGGCCAGGCCACGCTGGGAAGGGGGGGGGTCTATTATAATTCGGAGACAATACCAAGTGCAGCCAGAGCTGATTCCGACCCACATGAAAGCTGCCCAGAGGTAACCAGGTAACTGACCTGACACGACGGAGAGCGTGACTCAATATCCACCCCCTTCCCCACCACGGCGGCCACAAAGCTCCACCTTCCGGAGTAGAGGTGAAACAAGGAGAAGGAGCGACGAAGGTCAGGTGTCCAAACGAAGGTCCGAGCCGTGGTTCGCACCAACGCCCTAAAGGGCCCGCTCCCGGTTTCCAGTGCTGACTGGCTGGGAGAGCCCCCCCCCCCCCATGGTGATCCAGACCCTGGGGCGACTGTGCTCCAGCTGCCGCACGGCCCTGAGGCAGAGTGTGCAAGCGTGTGTGTGTGTGTGAGTGTGTGTGTGTCCCATCTCCCATCACTCCGACCCTAACCCTGCTGCTATTAATAATCCCCCCCCAGCGAATGGCTCAGATCCGCTCTGCAGAGGGCCGGGAGGAGGCTGAGGACACACACCTGAAATGCACCCGGCATGCGCACGCACACTCCAGCCAATCGGCAAGCGCACCCTCTCGCTTCGGACACGCCCGCCCAAGAGAGCAGCGAGTTCACTCCCCGTGCGAAGAGGCGGCTGGCGAGCCGCCAGGGGCGTGGCGGGCCTGAG